GGTAAAATGTTTGACAGTTGAAGCAAAATATCTTCCGACATGGTGCTCATTTTTTGAATAGAAACTACTTAAGACAATTATATTAATAGGTAAGGAAAAGAGACCTAATGGAAGTAAGGTTTTTATACATTGAAGTGGTAACTTGTTGATAACATTAAACTATAATAAATTATATATGGACATTATAATACTCAGAGCAACAATTAAAAAATAATGTAGATATATATAGATGGTTCCTGATTTATGATGGTTTGACCTACTAGTATTTGACTTTGCAATGTGGTGCAAAAGCTATGTGCATTCAGTAGAAACCATACTTTGAAAATTTTTGATATGAAACTCTTAATAATAACTTTATTCTAAAATAGGCTTTGTTCTGATTTTGCCCAACTGTAGGCTAATTTAAGTTTTCTCAGCACATTTAAGGTAGAATTGGCTAAGCTATGATGTTCAATAGGTTAGGCATATTAAATGCATTTTCGACTTAAGAAATTTCCAACTTACATTGGGTTTACTGGGATGTAACCCCATCATACGTAAGTCAAGGAACATCTGTACTAAAAATCACTACACAGATACATTAAATGAAGTTCTAAAAAAATTGGAAGTAACCCACAGGAAGACAAGTAAAAACCCCAAATAACAACGAAGACAGGAGAGGAACACTAAAAAGGGAACACAAACAAAAATCAAATCGTAAAATGGCAGACATAAGCCCTAACATATCGATAATTATTTTAAGTTTAAATGGTCTAAATACACCAATTAAAAGACAAAAATATGCAAAATGGATGAAAAAGCATGGCCTGAGTATACACTGCTCACAAGAAAACTTACTTCAAATGTAATGATATTGAAAAAGCTTAAAATTAATAAAAATATAAACAATGCAAACATTAATGCAATAGTGACTATATCAATATCAGAAAAAGTATTGACAAGAGTATTATGGGCAAAAAGGACATTACAAAATGATAAAATGATCAATACTCTAAGACCTAACAAACTTACATGTGCATGTATCCAACAATAGAGCTTTTAATTATGTGAAAAAAGTGACAGAACTTAAAGGAGGAACAGATAATTCCACAATTATAATTCAAAACTTCAACAGCCCTCTCTCAGGAATTGACAGAAATACTAGACAGAAAATCAGCAAGGATATAGCAAACCTGAATGACACCGCCAACAAACAATATATAGACATTTATAGAAACTCCATGTTTCTACAAATGTGTGAGAGCAAAACACATTGTTTTCAAGTAGCCATACAGAACAAGATAGACCATATCCTGGGCCATAAAAAAATGTCAACACATTTAAACAGATCACAGATCAAATGTGAAACAAATTAGAAATCGATAACAAATTACATGAAATACTCCAAACCCTAGAAAAGTAAACAACATACTTCTAAATAATTCATGGGTTAGAGAGGATGTCTCAAAAAAGTCAATATTAAAACTGAATAAAATGTAGTAAAAACACATTAAAATTTGTGGGATGAAGGTAACAGTGCCATGAAGTAAATTTATAGAACTTAATGCTTACATTAAAAAGCAAAAAGCCTCAAATCAACAATCTAAATGCCCACCTCAAGAAATTACTGAGAAACAAATACCACCAAAGCAAGAATAATATAATACAGATCAGAGCAGAAATCAGTAAAATTAAGAACAGAAAGATAAAGAAAAATCAATGATATAAAGTGCTGATTCACTGAAATAATCAATAAAATTGATAAATGTCTAAGAAAAAAGAGAAAAATAAAGAGTAGACAGATTTCCAATATCAGACATAAAATGGATATAAGTACTGATATCAAAATAAGGGAATGTTATAAATTAGAAAATTTAGATGAAATGGAATTATTCTTTCAAAAGGATAAAATATCAAAATTTATTATATAAGAAATAGGTAGTTTAAATAGTTCTATATCTATCCAGTAAAATAAGTAGGTAATTAAAAATCCTCCAAAAGGAAAATCTCCAGGCCCAATGGTTTAGTAGAGAATGTTATCAAACTTATTAAAAGAACAAATAACACAAATTTTACAGTCTTTCAAAAAACAAAAGAGAACTTCCAATTCATGTTAGGAGGCCAGGATCACCTAGACATCAAAACCAGACATAAGACCTTTAAAAAGCAAAGAAACAAACAGGAAAGCAAAACAAAACAAAGAGAAATAAAGAGCTACACATCATTAGCCAAAAAAATTAGAGGGAAACTTCCTCAATAAAATACAAGCAAACGAAAATAGAAAAATTAGCTGGGTGTGGTGGCATGTGCCTGTAGTCCCAGCTACTTGAGAGGCTGAGGCAGGTGGATCACTTGAGCCCAGGAGTTTGAGGTTGCAGTGAGCTCTGAGGAGGCCACTGCACTCTAGCCCAGGTGACAGAGACAGACCCTGTCTTCAAAACCAAAAGCAAAAACAACAAAAAAACTAGCTAACAGAATGATGTCAAATGATATATAAGATCAATTATACTACACAAACAAGGATGCAAGGCTGGCTCAATACTCAAAACCCTATCAATTATATCACTGGGCAGTAGAGGGAAAATCATGTGATTGTATCAATTGATGGAGAAGCAGCATTTGACAAATCCAACACTCATTCACAACAACTCAGAAACTCAGCAAACTAGGAACAGAGGGGAATTTTCTATATTTGATAAAGAACATCTATTAATAAAACATACAATATTATCCTATTCAACATTATACTGGAAGTCCTAGCTTGTGTAATGAGACAAAAAAAGGCAATAAAAGGTATACAGATAGGAAGAAAGAAAGAAAACTGTATTTGTAGATGACATTTGTGCGTAGAAAATTCCAAGGATTCTATTTAAAAAATGGCAAAAAATACTAAGTGCGTTCAACAAGGTTGCAGGACAGCAAAACATCCAAAAGTAATTATATTTCTGTATACTACCAAACATCATATGGAAGTGAAAGTTTAAATACCAATGCCATTTACAATCACTCAAAAAGAAAAAAACCAAGAAAACAACCCTAGATGCAAATTTTAACCAAAATGTATAGGTTCTATATGCTGAAAATTATAACACTAATGAAGTAAATTGAGGAATGCTTAACTACATGAAGAGACATACTGTTTTTGTGAGCTGTAAGACTCAACATGGTAAAGATACCAATTCTCAACAAACTCATTCTACAGATTTAACTCAATTTCTGTGAAAATCTGAGCAAGATATCGTAATAAATTATACATTTATAAAATGTATTATAGACAAACTAATCCTAAATTTATATGTAAAGTCAAAAGAACCAGAAATGCTAAATCAACTTTAAATTAAGAACAAAAAGGAATCACTTTACCCAATTTAAAAATTTACTATATAACTGTAGCAATCAAGTAAACCAACAGATAGGGATCAAAAAGTTTGAGTGTTACATTTTTAAATTCACTTGAAAAAGAGTTTGTTTTTTCTAAAAAATCAAGCCTTACATGGTCTTAACCGGTGCAATAAAATGTGCCCATTCAGATACATATCCTTAGGTCCTTAAACATAAGTATTTCATGGCTCAAGATCCCTATTTTCTCATAAAAGTTATGTTTCTCAAGAGTAAAGACTATTGTGGAACACAGAAGATGTACTATAAAAGTTTGAAGACTTGCCATCAACTAATTCTCTTGACACTGGACAGCAATGAATGCATATATAAGAAACAAAAACAATCAAGGCCCTTTACCTCTGAAACACTTCCCTTGCCCTAAATAAAGTAAGGAATCAATAACAAAGTGCCATAAGCTTGGTAGAGCACTCTGAAAAGATCTGTGCTTGCATTTCATCTTCTACCTCTCCTCCTTTTTAAAATAATTCCTGAGATAACACTGCACTGTAAACTAAGGAGAAAGAAGTAGCTGAAGTTTTTCTTATTTGTACAATAACCACTGGGTCTCTCTCCAGGATAAATTCTCAGATGGAGAATAAGGCTCTAGGCTGGGTCAATTTCTACTATGCCTCTTTAGATGACAAGTAATATTCTGTAACAGAAGGATTTTTCACGGTGAAGACACTTGTGGGGTTTCTCTTTGGTATGCATGATCAGATGTAGTTGTTTCCTCTGGCAAAAGATTTGCCTCAGTGGTTACATTCATAAAATCTTTCCCCAAAAGGAGTTCGCGAAGGGTAACTGAGGTTTGCACACTTGTAAAAGGTCTTGCCACATTTGTCACACTGATAGGGTTTCCGCCCGTGTGCATCCTTTGATGCTGAGTGAGGGATGAGCTGCGACTGAAGGCTTTTCCACATTCACTACACTTGTAGGGCTTCTCTCCAGTGTGGATGATGGAGTGTCGAATGAGGTTTGTGCTCCAGCAAAAGGATTTCCCACACTCGACACATTCATAGGGCTTCTCTCCACTATGAATCCGCTTGTGCCTTGTGAGGCCTGACATGCGGGTGAAGGCCTTTCCACACTCTACGCACTCATAGGGCTTCTCTCCAGTGTGGATGCTGAAGTGGCGAATGAGATCCTTCCGATTGCTGAAGGCTTTTCCACATTCTTTGCACTCGAAAGGTTTTTCTCCAGTGTGGGCCCTTTTATGCAGGATAAAAGTAGAGCAGTGGGTGAAGGCCTTTCCACATTCACTGCACACAAAAGGCTTCTCCCCAGTGTGAATCCGCTGGTGCCTCTTGAGGTACGACCTGTGGTTGAAGGCCTTCCCACACTCGAGGCACTCGAAGGGCTTCTCCCCGGTGTGGATGACATAGTGGTGAACGAGGGCTGCGCTCTCCAAGAAGACTTTCCCACATTCACTGCACTCATAGGGCTTTTCCCCCGTGTGAGTCTGTTGGTGCCACATGAGGTATGACCTATGTTTGAAGACCTTGCCACACTCCAAGCACTCATAGGGATTCTCACCGCTGTGGACAACATAGTGTCGAAGGAAACCTGGCCTATGTCGAAAGACTTGCCCACATTCTGTGCACACAAAAGATTTTTCTCCAGTGTGTCTCCTTTTATGCAAGACAAAATTGGATCGGTGGGTGAAGGCCCTTCCACACTCACTGCACTTATAAGGCTTCTCTCCACTGTGAATACGCTGGTGCTGAGTAAGGTATGATTTGCGGTTGAAGGCCTTTCCACACTCCATGCACTCGTAGGGCCTCTCGCCAGTGTGGATCATGTGGTGCTGAAGGAGATGTGTGCTCTTAATGAAGGTTTTCCCACATTCTGTGCATTCATAGGGCTTCACTCCAGAGTGAATTTTCTCATGTCCAGTAAGGAGGTGTTTCTTGTTAAAGACTTTTCCACATTCATTGCATTTAAAGATATTTTCCTCTTCCTGAAGCATGGGCTCTTTACCTGATCCACTTGAGTTAAGGCTATGGACTGTATCTCTTGGACAGACTTGCTCTTGTATCATCCTGGAACATGCACCACCACCTCTCCCTAACTCATCACATTCAGGGTTCCTTTTCCCAGCAAGTTTCTCCTTCTCGGGATCTATCCCTGGTCTCAAGTGTCCTTCCTGCATTTCATATGGCCCATTCTGATCCTTGGCTTGCTGAGGCTGGGAGTCCCCTGAGGCTCCCTGTGTTAGTTCTCCCTGGAGTGAGACTCCCCTAGGCCGGGCTGGCTCACAAGTGATGGGTTCTGGGGTCTTAGGTTTTTCTTTGTCCCCTGAAAGAAATTCAAGACATAAAATGGCCTGTTAGTAATGACAAGAAAGAAGAAACAAAATTATCATTTCTGTGAAAAACTGAAGATGAAAATACGACTTCTGTGTCCGTTATGTGCTATATCTCTGAAACTTGAAAGTTGGGTTTGCAAATTCTTTCTTTCCTGGTCCTGGGACTCCGGGTATCTTATAAAGGAGACCCAGGGGGATAAGATGGGTCAGAGGACAATGAGTCTGTAGTGGAGTTACCTTCACAATTCCAGACTGGATATGGGCAGAGTAACAATGACATTGCATCGTAAGTTTCCTCTAGGACAGGACATTCCATGTTGGTACAAGAACACTAGGAAAAGGAACCTAATGCAGCCCACACAGAAGATACAAGTGTGCAACAAAAAATTAATTCCCCAAGGAAATGTTTGGGTTTTTTCCAAAGTCATGGGAAGTAACCTCTAAATACTGGGTATTTCCAGAATGTCTTTTACATTGATGGTCAGCCCCCAGGGCCATATTTGACAGTTTATGCAAACAGGTATAACTCATTATAGACAACTAAATAGTTTATCCTGAAGAGATGACTCTGGCCAAGGTCTGGACAAAGTCACAACATAACAGCTTAATCTGTGGAAAGTGCAGGAGAGCTGAAGATTGAGCCACATGGATAATGACTCAATCAAATGTGCTTATGTAATGAAGCTTCAATAAAGTTCTGGACACTGAAGCTCTAGTAAGTTTCCTGGGTTGGTAACAATCCAAGCCTGTACTGCCATATACCAAGGCTGGGACACAGTGAGTCCCTGGGAGACTGAGACCTCGTGTTGGGAACCTTTCCAGCCATACATTTTGCATCTCTTCTAATTTGTACCTTTTGTCTGTAATAAATATGATTGTAAGTAAAATAGGTTTTAGGGAGTCTTTTATCAAATATGTGAACCTGAGGATGGTTTTGGGAAATCCAGAATTTGTAGTTGGTGTCAGAAGAATTAGACAGACCTGGCAGTCTTAGAGGACTATGTCCCTAACCTTGTGTTAGGCAAATCCTGGGCAGGAAAAGAGGGGAAGTTTTCCAATAAGAGTTGCCCAATGGGGCCGGGTGTAGTGGCTCATGCCTGTAATCCTACCACTCTGGGAGGCTGAGGCAGGCGGATCGTTTGAGCTGAGGAGTTCGACACCAGCCTGAGCAAGAGTGAGACCCCATCTCTACTAAAAAAAAAATAGAAAGAAATTGGCTGGACAACTAAAATTACATAGAAAAAAATTAGCTGGGCATGGTGGCACATGCCTGTAAGTCCCAGTTAATCTAGAGGCTGAGGCAGAAGGATCGCTTGAGCCCAGGAGTTTGAGGTTGCTGTGAGTTAGGCTGACGCCACGGCACTCTATCTGGGCAAAAAGGGTAAGACTCTGTCTCAAAAAAAAAAAAAAAGAAAGAAAAAAAAAAAAAAAGAGTTGCCTAATGAAGTGAGTCTTACTGGCCACAAAGGAGTTGCCATAAAGACAAAGCAGGAAGGACACCAAAGCCCTGGAAGACAGAATGTACAAAGAAACTGCAGTATGGTGTTGATGACAATCTAGGGACAGGTGGAGATAGAGGGGAAGCTGAGCTGGTTGACAGTGAAGGTCATATGACCACTGCCAGTCAGGACAGGGCTCATTAGGCAGGAGGTAAGCAAGCCCTAGTGGGACATACTGAGTCTGGTATGCCTGAAAACAAGCTTCGTGAAAAGATCAGCAAAATGCACATGACTGAGATAGAGAAAACTGTAACACGCTAATTAAAGATAATAAAGATCTATGTCAACACAGAATTTAATAATATAAACTTATAACAGAGGGAATGGCCTGGAAAAGGGTAAAATATTTTAAAAGTTATCTCATTAAAACCTCTCCCACTCTTCTTGAGAATTAAAACCTGCATTCCTGCCCAAAGCCAGTGGTTCGGAGGGGCAGGGGAGTGTCCTTTGTTCTTTGTACCACAGGACATGGCTCCAACAGAACTGTGCAGGCAGAAGTCACAAGATTGTTTTCGTTGGAGATGGAATAGATCAGAATCGTCAACTGTAGTTAAACAACAATACCCTAAAGCTGAAAACCCTCCCTTTAAAAGCTCTGTATTTCTGCTTATAGACAGGACAATGGTACTTTAAGATGGGAGTCTGCCATTCTCCTCATTTGCTGGCAAATTAATAAAACTCCCTTTCCTTCTCAAAACACTTGTCCTCATTCTTCCAAAGCAGCCTTGGGGATAAGTGCCAAAGTTCTGGTAATAGACTGACAATTCTTGCCAAATCCATATTATAAATTCAATATAATTCCCTGTAAAATAGCAACTATATTTTATCATGGAACTGACAGTCTGTTGAACTAAGTAAATGAAGCTGGAAAAACTGGCTACCCACATGGGTAATAAAAACAATTGCAATACTATTTCACTATATATGCTAAATCAACCTCATTGATAAAACTTAAATGCCAAATGACAAGTTTTAAAACTTTTAGAATATGAGAAATAAGAGTATCTTTACAGTCAGGCGTGGTGTTCACACCTGTAATCTCAGCACTGTACAAGGATCGCTTGAGACCAACCTTAGCAACATAGCGAGACCCCATCTCTACAGAATTTAAAAAAATTAGCCAAGTGTGGTAGTATACACCTGCAGTCCCAGCTACTTGGGAGGCTGAGCCAGAAGGATCACTTGAGCCCAGGCAACAGAGCAAGATGCTGTCTCAAAAAAAACAAAAAAAAATTAATAAGATAAGCAAGAATATCTTTTTGATATTGGAGTAAAGCAACATTTTTTTTATGTAAGACAAAAAAGCCATTAATTGTCTAAGAAAAGTCATGAATTAGGCCCTTTCCTTTCCTGTTCCTGCAATAAAAAAAGAGAAAAACCCAGAAAAGTCATAAATTAGACTACACTAAAATAACCTTTATCAAACAAAAGATACCTTAAAGAATGAAAGGACAAAATTAAAAACTAGAATATATCTGAAGCATACATAACTGACAAAAGTATCAGGCATGTACATAGAATCCCTACAAAGGAAAAAGAGAAAGGCAAACAAGTTAATAGAAAAATAGGCATTTATCATGAAATGATAAATGATTTGTATTTCAAACAAGAAAACACAAATTAGCAAAAAATCGTAAGTTGCTAAAATATTTTAGCAATGATGGAAATGCAAATCAAGAGAACATGAGAGAAAAACAGGAACCAAGGCAACATGGCAGACTAGAAGGAACCTGCACGTACTGCTCTCACGGGGACGATCTAAAGTGGCGAGTACGTATTCACCTTCAGATCAAATGTCTAAGAGAGAGCATTGGGAATCAACAGTTAGTAACAGGACATTCCCAAAGTGACGGAGAGGAAATGTGAGGTGACCTGCTCAGCAGGAGGTATGCAGGGAAGGTACCTACATGTGGAGAAAGAAGAGAGGAGAACCCTGGGGCTCCACACTCCCCCCCATGGACACTGCAATCAGAGCTGCGGGAGTGCCCCTCCACAGCAGAAGGCTGCTCGGCTGCAACCGGGGCTGGCTGGAGACCATGCAGCCGCACTGCTCTGGAGACGAGGCACAGCAGGTTCCTGCTGGCTTATAAACCCTGGGTGCTACAGCTGGCACCATTTTTAGTCCTAGTCACAGAGTGCTGTGTCTATCTGTGGTGTTACATCCATTGCTGCTGCCTCCCCATCACTCCTGCTGGGCTTGGGAGAGAGCGGGGAAAGTGGGAGCTCTTGTGTACCCCCACTGCCACTGGAGGACCCGGGAAAAGTGGGTGCCCACAGACCTGGTGTCTGCTGCTGCCATGTGGGCAGCCCCACCCAGCCATAGCTGCCATAGGACCTGGGCAGAGAGAGCACCCATGACCCCAGACACTCCCTGCTGCTGCCTGGGTGGCACCATCACTGCTAGACATGGGTGGGACGAATGCTCACAATGTGTGTGCCAATCACCCATGACAACCACAAAGCAATGGGGAGATACAGGAGAGCAGCAGTGCTAAAGGCTCACAGTGCATCTGAACCTCTCCTGCCTGATCAGTCTTCTGGAGTAGGACTCAAGCATGTCATCCAGGGATCTCTCACTCTCTTCACTGAGCAACAAAGTTCTCAGCAGAGCAGAACAAGTGTACTGCAAAGCTATCTGTGTTCTGTGTTGAGCTTACAGAAGAGGTTTCAGGTGAGAAGCCAGCATCAGACCTTTAGCAACAGGAAAAAGAAAAACAAAAAACAGGCTGTTTTTACACCCCCAAAAGATCACAATAGTTTGCCAGCAATGGATTCAACAAAAGGAAATTGTGGAAATGTCAAATATGGAATTCAGAATATGCATGGCAAGTATGATGAATGGGAATGATGAGAAAGTTGAAAACCAACTCAAACAAACCAAAAATAAAATTCGGGAAATGAATGAAAAATTCACTGAAGAGATAGATGATGCAAGAAAAAATATAACAACTTTCAGAAATCAAAGAGTCACTTAGGGAATGTCAAAACACAGTAGAAACTTAACAGACCAGACCAAACAGAAGAAAGAATTTCAGAGCTTGAAGACAAGGTTTTGGTATTAACCCTGTTAGTCAAAAATACAGGAGAAAGAATAAAGAATAATGAACAATCTGAGAAATATGGGACTATGTAAAGTGAATGAAGATAAGAATCATAGGTATCCCCAAGAGAGAAGAAGAAAAACTCAGAAGCATGGAAATCCTATTTGAGGAAATAATTCAGGAAAACTTCCCTGTTATCACTGGAGATTTAGATATCCAGATACAAGGTCATCAAACACCTGCAAGATTCATGGAAAATAAGACATTACCAAGGCACGTAGTCATCAGTCTAACCAAAGTCAAAGGGGAGAAAATCCTACAAGCTGTGAGATGAAAGCATCAGACATACAAAGGAAGATGAAAGTTACTTGTAAAGGAAAATCCACCAGACTAACGGTAGACTTCTCAACAGAAACCCTACAAGCCAGAAGGCACTGGGGTCCCATTTTTAGTCTTCCTAAACAGAGTAAGTGCCAGACAAGAATTCTGTACCTTGTAAAACCACCTTTCATAAATGAAGGACAAATAAAGTCTTTCCCAGACAAGTAAACACTAAGGTAGTTTATCTCCATTAGACATGCCCTATAAGATATGCTTAAAAGTGCTTCGTACATGGAACAAAACAACTGATACCCACTAGTGTAAAAACAACTGAAAGTGAACACACAACTCTTATAAAATAGTAACACAAGGAAGAAAATGGAACGAGGTAACAATCAACAAGATGAACAGGACAGTATCTCACATATCAATACCAGCACTGAAAGTAAATGGTCTTAGTGCTCCACTTAAAAGATATATATTGGCTGAATGGATTAAAAAATGCAACCCAAATATATGCTGTCTTGAAGAAACCCATTCAACTCACAAAGATTCTCATAGACTCAAGGTAAAGGGGTGGTAAAAAATATTCCATTCAAACGGAAACTGAGAGTGAGCAGAAGTAACTATTCTCCTATCAGATAAAACAGACTTTAAATCAACAATGGTTAAAAAAAAATACAAAGACAGTTATTATATAATGAATGATAAAGAGAGCAATTCAACAGGATGTAACAATCCTAAATATATATGCAGCTACCACAGGAGCTCCCACAAATTGTACTAGATCTAAGGAAATAAACAGCAACATTGTAATAGCCAAGGACTTCAACAATCCACTGACAGAATAAACAGATCATCAAGGCAGAAAATCAACAAAGAAACACAGGACTTAAATGGGACTCTAGAACAAATGGATCTAACAGATATTTACAGAACATTTTACCCCCAAATGCAGAGTATATATTCTTCTCATCAACACATGGGACATTTTCCAAAATATATTATGTTAAGCCAGAAAACAAGTGTCAGCAAATTCAGAAAAACTGAAATCATACCATGTATCTTCTCAGATCATAGCGAAATAAAACTAGAAATCGATTTGAAGAGGAACTCTCAAAACTACACAAATACATGGCAATTAACCTGCTGCTGAACAATCCTTGGGTCAATGATAAAATCAAGATGGAAATCAAAAGATTTTCAAATTGAATGACAATGATGACACAGCTTCCAAAAATCTCTTGGATACAGCAAAAAGCAGTACTAAGAGGGAAATTCATAACTTTAAATACCTACATCAAAAAGACAGAAAAATCACAAATTAACAACTGAATGTCACACTTGAAGGAACTAGAAAATGAAGAACAAAGCAAACCCAAAGCTAGCAGAAAAAAAGAAATAACAAAGGTAAGAAGGAGCAGAACTAAATAAAATGGCAACTGAAAAAAATTACAAATGATCAAGGAAATCAAAAGTTGATTATTTGAAAAGATAAACAAAATCGATAGACCACTAGCTAGATTAACCAGAAATAGAAGAGAAAGAACTCGAATAAGCTCAATCAGAAATGAAAAAGGAGACATTACAATTGATATCACAGATACACAAGATATCAACCATGACCACTATGAAAATACTTAGGCAAACAAGCTAGAAAATCTAGAGGAAACGGATAGTTTTGGAAACATACAACTTCCCAAGCTTGAATCAGGAAGAAATAGAAGTCTTCAACAGACTAATAATGAGCAAAGAGATTAAAACAGTAATAAAGAATCTCCCCACAACTCCAAAGATGTGGAAACAACCCAAGTGTCCATCAATACATGGGTGGATTAATAAAATGTGGTATATGTATACCATGGAGTACTATTCAGCTTTAACAAACAATGGTGATACAGCACCTCTTGTATTCTTCTAGATAGAGCTGGAACACATTCTACTAAGTGAAGTATCCCAAGAATGGAAAAACAAGCACCACATGTACTCACCATCAAATTGGTGTTAACTGATCAACACATAAGTGCACATATAATAACATTTATTGGATGTCGGGCACAGGGGAGGGGGGAGGACGGAGGAGGGGACGGGTATATGCATACACAAAGAGTGCGATGCGCACCATCCGGGGGATGGCCACGCTTGAATCTCGGACTTGAGGGGGAGAGGGGGGTCAAGAGCAACATACGTAACCTAAACATTTGTACCCCCATAATATGCTGAAAAAAAAAAAAAAAAAGAGAATCTCCCAACAACAAAGAGCCCCCGATGAGGATACACAGCTGAATTCTACCAGACCTACAAAGAACTGGCACCTATCCTACTGAAACTGTTCCACAACACCGAGAAGGAAGGAATTCTCCCCAATTCATTCTATGAAGCCAGTATCACCCTGATACCAAAGCCAAGAAAGGACACACCAAAAAAAGAAAACTACAGCCCGATATCCCTCATGAACATAGATGCAAAAATCCTAGCAAACCGAATCCAACATCACACCAAAAAGATAATTCACCATGATCAAGTGAGTTTTATCCCAAGGGTGCAAGGATGGTGTAAAATACCCAAAATCAATAAATGTGATTGATCACATAAACAGAAGTGAAAACAAAAACCATATGATTATCTCAATAGATGCAAAAAAAGCATTCAATAAAATCCAGCACCCGTTCATGATTTAAAAAAAAACAAACAAACTGAAAAACCAGGCATAGAAGGAACACACCTCAAAATAATTGAGTTGTCAATATTAAAATGTGCTGACACATTAATGGTCGTATGCTGAGACATCTATGCCTAGGAAATAGTAACTGTCTGGATGACTACATGTGTACACTGATGGAGAAGGAGGTGTTGAGTTGTCTACGGTTGTATCCAGTCTTCTAATCTGCTTGGATGGCAGGAACATTACTGAAACTTGGGAGGTGGTAAGAGTGAGCAAGATCCTGGGTTCTTGGTTAGGCATGTTGAGCTTTGTGCTTTTGAGATACTCAAGTGGAGATGTGGAATTCAAGAGGGGAGAAGATTTGAAATAGACTCTGAATGGCTAAAAAGGGACAGCACTAAGACAACTCAAGGGCTGGCTCAGCAGCCCAATGGACCAACATGGAAGAGAGATCATGACTCTGCAAGGGCACCAGTGAACACATGACAGCCCAAGTGCCCTCAGCAGCCTAGGTGTGGGACAGAGAAGGCCAAATGGCACCTAGAGGTTCTACAACACAGGAGATGCAGGAAGACATGGGCGAGGACTGACTACTTCAGTGTCTGACTGACACTCAGAAAATAGGCAGATGGAGAAGGAGGGAAAGGGTGGTAGGCAGGATATAGTTGGAGAATGAAACTGGGAGACTTTTCCCCCGAGTTCAGAAGGAAATACATCATTTTTCATCATGACTAATAAAACATGAGAAATATTCACAGCTTATTATGATGAGTCACTTACTATGGCTCAGACACTGTGCTGTTATACGCATTAAGGAATAACATGATTACATCTTCAAACAACCCAATGACATAAAAACTATTGTTACTATCATTTTTCAGGGAACAGACTGACTGTAGTAGACTGAGTAGATGATCGCCAAACCATTTGCTCTTCTCCTTGGACACACAGCTCAGCCATATTTCCCAGATCTGTGGACCCAGTGTAGCCAAATCCCTACCTCCTATGGGTAGAATGTGAGGTGAATTGGTGCTTCTGGAAGTGGCTGTGACTTCCCTTCCTCTTAATTCTCTGCCAGCAGAAGGATGTCAACACAACCTTAAAGTGAAGGCTGATGACAGAAGGTACCCGGGCCCCTGAATTACTGTGTGCTACATAACGCCCCATAGACCCACGCAGACCTTGGTATGAATGAGAAAAATAGTTTTCCTATGCTGAATCACTGAGATTTTGGAGTTTGCTTGCAACAGCAGCAAGTGTTAACTTGTCGGAACTTACATTCAAAGACATGAGATCATGCAACTTCACAAGAGCCACAGAGCTGGTGAGGGAAAACACAGGTTTCAGGCCCACATAGCTGGAGCCCCGAGACAGATGCCAGTTCATCAACCTCATTTGTCCCCAGAGGTGAAGACATGTGTGATGGGGATGGGAGGTATAAGAGACCACAGGTCAAAACGCCCCAGGGCTCCCAAATTCCTGGAGAAGTCACAACAAGAAGCTTCCCTGAGATTCCAGAGCCAGTGTTCTCCTCCCAGTTTCAAGCCTGCAGAGCCTCTCAGCTGCCCAGACCTTGGCTCCTACCTGGACAGAGTCCCTGGAAGAGGTCTTTCCTTACTGTCCACAGCTCCTGCCCATGCTCTAGCTGGTAGATCAGCTCAGGTCTGGGAACAGGACACCCTGTTTGTGGAGAAAGAAATTGGACATGTGGATTCTGACGAAAGAAATAAAGACCCACCATCAGCAGCACAATTCACAATTGCAAAGATGTGGAAACAACCCAAGTGCCCATCAATACATGAGTGGATTAACAAAATGTGGTATGTGTATACCATGGGGTTCTACTCAGCCACAAAAATCAATGGTGATATAGCACCTCTTGTATTATCCTGGATAGAGATAGAACCCATTTTACTAAGTAAAGTATCCCAAGAATGGAAAAACAAGCACCGCATGTATCCACCATCAAATTGGTAATAACTGATCAACACCTAAGTGTGTATATAGTAGTAACATTCACTGGCTGTTGGGCAAATGAGAGTGGGGAGGAGGGGACGGGTACATACGTAATGGGTGTGGGGCACATAATCTGGGGGATGGACACGCTTGAAGCTCTGACGTCGGTGGGGCAGGGGCAATATACATACCTAAACATTTGTACCCCCATAATATGCTGAAATAATAAAAATTTAATAAAGCTATAAAGACCTAACATTTTAAAGAAAATATCTATATATGCTTGAAAATAAATTACACATAAAATACACACACATACAAAAAAAAAGACCCTCTATCTAGTCTGGGACTTCAGGATGAGGATCAGACCCTGGAATGAAGCTGCTCCGCCCAAACTAAAAGCTCTTAACATGACCCGGAAACCAAGAGCATGTCATACTATGCTGCCATGGAAGCTTTACTCTTAACAGCAAGTCGAAAACTAGTATTTATAGGATAGAACCACTCCCAAGGGACTGTGCCAAGCAATATAAATGCATTATGTCATTTCAGAATTGAACAATATTTATGGAATACTTTAGAGAAAAACTGACATATTTCAAATATTGACTCATTTCATTCAAAATAAGGTATGTGTCTTCATGGATCCCAGTCCTTTTTCACATCCTAACCAATGTTTATAGCACCCTTCCTCCAGACCATGGACCAAATGGAGGATTCAACTTGAGGATTTCCTCACAGCATCCCCAGGAAGTCTATGTTGCTATCGACACTATTTCATAGATGAAGAAAATCAGGCTCAGGCAGATACAGTGATTCCTGAGGAGCAAAGAACTGGTGAGTGGCCGAGCCAGTGAGGAAACCCAGGCGTTGGCATCTCTGCTCTCTGTGCTGTTAACCACAAAGCTCCACAGCAATGCCCAGAACGTGCCGCATCCACGCTTGACCACAGTGTTAATCGTGTGAGGATGACAACAACAGTATCAGGGGCAGCAGGAATCCCAAGGGCTCCCCTGCACACACCCTGGTCTCAGAAAGTTCAGTAAATTGCCCAAGGCCACAAGTTTTTAAGTAGCAGACCTGGGACTGGACGCCAGGAGTCTGGCTCGGGATCCCGGCCTCTCAAACACTACGGTAAGAAGGAAACTACGAGCATCGCAAAGAGCAAGTGGTAGGTGATATGAGGCAGGGACGGGACCTGGAGGACCCATCCTCAGGGGCAGGAAGCAGGCTGAGTGACTCCAAACCAAGGCATTTCGTCGACCATTAAAAATTTTAAAAACTGAAAATCCCACAGTGATATGGTTACTTAAGGACATTTACAGAAATATCAATAGCATCTACTCTCATCAACATTTCACAAAGAGAGGATTTTACTTCACAAAAACGAAACAAAACAAAAAACCTACAAAAGGTAGCTTCATAAATGAAGGAGAATCTTCTAAACTGAGTTAAGTTTAGGTTCACGACAGACTCAATACAACAGTCGTACTTCCCTGACTTTGCCAAGGACAGGTACATCCATCATGTTTTTAAATAATTTTCTGTATTTCATGTTTTAACACCTTGAAGGCTTGTCAGACTTTGCGAGAGGCTGCCCATCTCAAGGCCAGCTGAGCCCCAGGATGAGAAACAGCTCCCCTGGGAACAAGCGTGTGCCTTTCGTGTGCGAACCACTTAGTGCAAAACCGTACCCACAACCACTTCCTTCATGGAACTTTCACATCCCAAGGCAGTATTTGCCCTAAATCAACCCACAGCCAGGTGCCAGACAACTAGGGACAGCTCCATACCCCAAAGCTCACTAAAATTATTCACACTAGCCAATCCTAAACCACTGACCATGCCCTGCCCTGCATTTAGTCGATGGTCTGGAGGAAGGGTGCTTTCCAGAAGAAACCCCGATAGTGCCTGTGGCCTGTGCTTTTCCCTCCCTCCTGCTTCCTGGTCCTTCTTAACGAGGCCCTGAATGTGGTGCCATGCCCTCTTCTCTCAGCTGTAAATAATAAATTCTTCTTTCAATGCTATTGACTTCTCAGTGTTTCCCTAAGTCACTGCTATACATTTGAACCCTATGGGTACAAATTAATACAACTGGTGCACCAAGCAGTGTGACTCAGTGTTGGCTGGAAGGTCATGTCTCTAGACAACTGTTAGCTCACTACATG